TAGAGTTGCTGGCATTAAAAAAAAAATTTGAATAACGCGTGTTCAACATAAATTAGTAATTATAGTAATCTCTCTCTTTCTTTCCCTCTTGGAAGTGATATTACATTACATTTTCTCTTTAGAGGCAAGAAACTTGTGAAAACGTAGAGAATCTTTTTAAATCCTCGCAAAGATATCGCGAATTTATTAATGCATTCTTTATCCATTGCGGGCACGTATAGCGCATATTTTTAAAATTAATTTACGCCAGGATATATATTACCGTATAAAATGTAATTTTCGTGCTGCCTTTATCTATTTTAATACTAAATTTAATACGAAAGACACAATATTTCGTTTATCGAAACACGGCGTGAGCTTTGAGTAAGAATCGATATCTACGAAAAACGGATGTCTCGTAATTATCGGTGAAAAATTATCGGTGCAATATTCGCCAAATTAAATAGCAGCTCGGCACATTATAATGCGTCAACGTAGCGATTAATAACGGAGAATTGCAAGTAATGGCGAGGGCCCATCTCCGAAGGTACGGTTGATAAAGTTTCACAGTATTCTCCGCCGGTGTGCCGTCCGGGAGGGAGCTTTTCCCAAGATTAAAAATCTCACACTACTTGAAGCCGCGGTATATACTTTACATCGTTTTACACGAAATAGAGGACGCAACACGGACGGCGTCGTCTCTCCAGCGTCAGAGAAAACATCTCTCCCGTCGCTACCCTGTGACGCGTTCTCCATTCGGTTATATTCAATTGGATCGGTTCGGTGTTGTCGCGCGCGCACACAGACCGTTCGAGTGTGACCCGAGGGTTTCGAGGATCCCAGGTTAGAATGTACAAGTAGGTGAAACGAAACAGGTGAAGTGCCTTTCCCGTTTAGAAAACACCGGATTTGTGAACGGGAAAAAGGATATTATTCGATTTGTACGGAAGCGAAATAAATTCGCGTTACTGAATGCGAAAAAATAATTAATTCATGAGTGTCTCTCTCACGTGGAGTTCCTCTTAAGAGATTTATGGTCGGGGATGAAAGTCGAAGAGCATAATAATGCGGGGGACGGGAAAGTATTATTTATAGAACGATAGGCAGGAGCATGGGCGAGCGAAATATAATGCGGCGGAATATGAAATAGAGTAAATATTTAGCTTTATTAAATAACATTAATTTCACAAGCGGTGTTTCTCTTTCAAGTTTTTATGCAAATTTTTATAATTTATGATAGTAACGCGGAGAAAAGAGCCATAGAGAGAGATTTTTGCGTCAATAGCATTTTGTATCCCACGCGAGAAGTTGAAATTATCCTGTCAAGAAATAGAAATGAAATCGGGATACGAAAGATTCAATTTGCAGCCGGAACGCCTCACTTTGTACAATCCCCTGTATCCGGCAAATGATCGAGGCGGATGGAAAAAGACCTCGGCTCCTCTCGCTAATTAAGTTACGAGATGCGCTTCTGGCCAGCCGACCGCCCCCTTACTCTTCTCCGCCCGAAACCGGAAACGAGCTGCCGCGGATTATTTCCGCGAGGCGAAATGTAGGGCGAAGCCCCGATAATTAACGCGCTAGTCGGCTACGGCGCACCATCCCCGAAATAAACATCAATCAGCGGCGAGTTAACCTATTAGGATTAATAAAGATTACGTCGCGACGTCGTAGCGGTGACTCGCTGGCCCACGTGACAATGACACAATGGCCGGCTTTGTATTTTCAACAGGAGTTCAAGTGCTCCTCGGTGACCCTTGTAGAAAGAAAATTAATGATGACGCGCGCGGCTGAAGATAAAATATTCCTCTCTATCTGTCCCGTATGTAACATCGCCGCCCAGGTGCTCCTATAATTTTAGATTGCACGGTTTAGACTGCAAACGCCGCGCGACTGCTTCCGACGACCGTGAGTGCAAATTCAATCGTCACGTGCGACGGAGATCGTCGCAGTAAAATTTCCGGAAAAATTCCGGTGCTTCCGTTCGACCTCGTTCCCTCGTGAAAACCGACTGCCCCTGCAAATGCAAAAAGCCGTCGCGTCTGAATTATTTCACACCTTATGCAGAGAGATTTAAGGTCGAGAAAAGGTGCAAAGGTCTGGCTAAAAATAGCCACACCGTAGTAACGAAGGCCGGATACGGCGGGACATTTGCGCCTTGTCATCGTCATTCTTGCAAACGACGACAAGTCAGAAGATAGCTAGTACATTGTCAACGATCGAATAATCGTTTTCTTTTCACGAGAAAAATTCTTTTCATCAAACGCGGGGGTTTCCGTTTTCTTCGATACAAAACAGATAATCCGTAGAGCAGTCTGCGAGAAGTTGTTAGAAAGAATTGACGCAATTATTTCTCTCCCGGGTATCTGGCCGGTTAAAATGTAAATTAGTCGTACCGCTCGTGCGATCCGCGAATTGCTCAATTTCTCCTTTTAAGGGGAGCACTTAGGGCCGATCGACCGGCTGTAAAAGCGGATGGGTAATCGCGAGTACTTCGGACTACTCCGCTGTAACTGCGGACCTCTCAAATACGGTGTATTCAACAAGTCCCGTATTTCCCGCCGCGGCAACAACGGCATCGTCAATGTAGCGCTAGCCGGGGTTACAGCGTTACGTGGATTAGCGAGAGATTTATGCCCGGTCAGATTAATACCAAAAGCTGCCCGGCACGGATAAGCTTTGCACCTCTACGTCACGGGAGATACTTCAACCGAGATACATTTGTACCGCGCTGCACGCGGAAAAACTGGATTTCAAAGCGTGAAAAAAAAGGTTCGGACGGTTTATTTTCCGCGTCCCCAAAAATTTGCCGCGCGCTTTTCGCAGCGCGTGTCAAAAATGTTTTCGGCATTGACGTCGCCCGCGTCTATCATTTATTACAGCGTTGTAATGGCGTTATTCGTATGTAAAAGTCGAACGCGTTCCATTATCCTTTTATAACGATATATGTGCATGTGTATAATGGAAGAAGTCACATCAGGCATACATTGTAATAGTTACATCTACATATTTTACACGCCATGCCGAAAAGGCATTATTTTTTTATATACCGTGTGCAAATCTTGTTTCCCGTTTAATACATTCAAGATACATTTACGTATCGCCGCGAATTCTTTTTGCGCACGCCAAGTTAATAAAGAACAGCGTTGAAACGTGAGCGCAAACTTTTAGATTTAACGAGATCGCACACCGGTTATTGGCTTATCTCTTTGGCTTTGCTATTACTTATTAACCGCACGCGGAATTCCCTGTCGCGGTGATGCGGCGGGATCGGCGGGAAGTCAAATATAATATCAATCTCTAGCGTGAACGATTCGATCGTTAATCTACCCAGACGATATTGACTATCGTATCCAGCGCTTCGCGCGAAAACCGCCGCGTGCGAAAGATACGTGCGACCCTTATACATAGGCGAGCAGCTGCGAGATAATACATATTGACATTAGAAGATACTGGGCCACTTCTACGACGTTAGAATATTGAATCCCGCGGGAATTGAGAGATCATGTAACCGCAGTTGCTTTAATCGAACTTTCGCGCGGCGCGATTCAAGCGCCGAGATGATCGCATAATTTTCTGTCCGCCACCGGCAGAACGACACGGGAAAGCGTTCGCGGTAGATCGTCGAAATAATTCTAAAAATATATAGCGGTTGTGTATGGCATTTCATTGTTTGCCCAAAGTGTATTGAATCGGGTTATTTGCGTAAACCGGATTTAAGCCGATCGCTGTTTGCGATAGCGAAATCCATTACGCGCCGCAATTAATTCTACATTGAAATATCACGACTGCGACGTGTATTAAAACATAACTGAAGGTAACGGCCATGTAAGGAGTAGAAAAAATTATGAGAGTCGTGGCAAATCACCACGTAACAATTGCGTCAAGTTATTCGATAAAAAATATCTATACTTTTAATTTCCGCGATGCTGTTCGGCACTTAACAGTGCGATGAAATTGTAGAGCGAGCAGTTTTTTTTTTTTTTTTCATTGAACTGCACACGCCGGATAAGCCACACGTGACAATTGACAATTTGATCAATTTCCCTTCCGCATCGCTAATAAAATCCGTCAATTCCCATCAGCGCAACGTTCACTGTACAACGGGATGCCGTCATCATAGCACAATGACGCGCGGCGGTGCGTTGTAAACAACAATTACCAATCCCGTTGCCCCTCTACCCGCGGCATTGACATCCAAACAACATTAAATGCAGTACGCATCGCAGATAATTACACGACCGCCATTATAGCGTGCAGGTCGCTCCGAAAGTATCGTCAGTTTGCTGGTATACTATGGCTACAATCGAGTCAGCCACCATAAAATCGCACGTGGAGACGTGATAGGAAATTTCAACGTGCCACCGTATTTCGTGAAGTCACGAGATTTGTGATGTTAGACAATTACTGGCACGTTCGCGCTCATGTCAAAATAATCAATTACTTCGGTCGCCACAGGGATGCGAGACCGAGCTACAATTTACAACGTTGAAATGCGACTTTGAACGTTTTCCGCAAACGTTGAAAATTTTGAGCTTTTTCCTGACAAAATAAAAATTCTGCTTATCACAGTGTATGCGCAAACGTGCGACAAGTTTTATTTGTTTCTATATAGACGTGATAGGAAATTTCAACGTGCTACCGTATTTCGTGAAATCACGAGACTTGTGATGTTAGACAATTACTGGCACGTTCGCGCTCATGTCAAAATAATCAATTACTTTAGTCGCCACAGGGATGTGAGATAGAGATACAATTTACAACGTAGAAATGCGACTTTGATCGTTTTCCGCAAACGTTGAAAATTCACAGCTTTTTCCTGGCAAAATAAAAATTCTGCTTATCACACCGTATGCGCAAACGTGCGACAAGTTTTATTTGTTTCCGTACGACTTTAATTTGATCGCGGATACATATATCTCGAGATTTCTTACATAATGAGTATCTTATACTCTCCTTTTCACCTCTATTGCAAGTCTCATAATTTTACGAAATGAAGTTCAAGAGGGAACGGGACCTACCTGATGATCCACGATGCAATTTATTTCGCTATGTGCCGGAAATTTATCACAAGACTGTCTTCAGTGTTAACGATGCTGGGACATAACGACGAGATGGCGAGTACACCGCAGCGACGACGTCGTGCTCGATTTTCGCGACGATGATTTGTAGCGGGTTTTCCCTCCGTTAGCGTGTTAGCATCTTGGTGACTCTCGCCGGTGCAGTAAATGATTAAATCATCCCGGTCATTACGGCGGAAGAGGGAGGACCACGTGCGCTATTGGGTTCATAATGTTTTCATCGTTTTAGTCAACGTGACTTGGATCGGTATGCATTATTGGCGAGAGTGTAAGAGAGAAAGAGAGGAAGACAGGAAAAGAGAGAGGAACAGAGAGAGAGCGAGAGAGAGAGAGATATATATATATACCTGCCGAAAATTGCATTAACGGCCATTTATTTCTAACGAATACCCAATTACGTCGGTCGATAATGTGCAACCGCACTCGCCAGTTGACGTAATTTCAGTTAAGCGCCACCGCCGTTGCCGCTGCGAGAGAAAAGGGCGGGTCCGGGAAATCTTTAATCCCCGCGTCGGCTTTCCAATTAGTCGTCCTGCTCCCTTTCCTCCTGTCGTTCTTTCGATATCGAAGCGAGAGCGAGAAAGAGAGAGAGAGAGAGAGAGAGAGAGAGAGAGAAGAGAAAAGAAGAGAAGAGAAAAGAAGAGAAGAGAAGAGAGAAAGGAAGATGGATAAAATGCCACGATGATGATTTGAACCTTCGAAAATTGCTAAGGCTGCTACTTTTCATGGAATCCCGTATGCGTCCTCATATCTGTCTACCTTGATAGACCCGAAATGGTGTCGCGTTAGTTGCGATAAGAAGATCGTAGCCCCTTTCTATCGGCGAGCACAAAGGAGGATTGACGATCCGTGTTAACGACCCTTTCGAAAATTGCCGACATCGCGTGGAGCGCCGAGGGAAAATTAAATGGTCGCCGGCGTTGAACCAACGTTTTTAGGGAAGGAGCAAACAAAGCGTGTAACAGAGGCCATTCTTGGATGATGGTCTTCCCGAAGGGAAACCAACTTTCGACGCTACTGCGCAACAAGGCCTCGAAAGCTGCCTGGTAAGCAATGTGGCTACAAGGGGTCGAAAACGAGAAAATGTTCCCGCAGAGAATTGCCTGAAAGATTGCTGGACATTGAAAAATTAATTAAGAGGGGGGGGACAAAGGATTTAGAAGAACTTTCTCTTTAAATCCACGGAATTTCGATATGTACAACGGCGAGAGTAAGGGAGGGAGCGATGGATTATATCTACCTGAATATTAATTTTTATGATTATTTATTTTTTTTAATTGGAGTACAGTTGAAAAAGAAAGAGGAAAATGCGAAACGTGAATTACAAGCCTGCTACGAATTACCTGACTGTTTATTTTCTAAGATTTTTCTCGCTTGATATCGGAGTTTATAAAAGTTTCAAGTAGAAACATCATGTTTGGCTGATCCTGTATTTTTAACTTTGTAAAACACACTTCGGTATTTAAAAAAAAAATCAAGAATAAAAATTTTCAAGCGATTCCAGCAGAAACTCGCTGGAAGAATCCTCGCTAAGGATGCTGAAGGATATATACGCGTTATAGGTTCACTCGAAGAGGTCTGTAATTTCTAAGTTCTCATAGCTTTTCGGAATGTTCGCTGCGGTCGAAAAAGCGTCGCAAATCAGTGGCAATTTCTCGGCAAGAAGAATGCGAATTAAATCTACCCGAAGGAGCACATAATGCTCATGCCTCTTTATTTGTTCGAAAATTAAGGAGCTGCTCTGGAAAAAAAGTGATATTTTTAACGGGAAATTATTAAATATTTCTGCTTCATGAAATAACCGCAAATTTCAAGTCTCTTGAATACCAAATTTCTATAATATAATATGCATCAAACTAGATATTAAGTACGAGTGACAATAAAAATAAACTAAAGTTACTTACTAATATTTACTAATTAATAATTATAATTAATATTACAATATTTGATGATTATTATCATTATAGATACTTTGAACAAAATTTAATAACAGAGCGAAAATTATAAAACGACGAAAACAAACTTAGTATACAAACTTTAATCTTCAACTACTCAATTTTTTCAAAGCTTTCTGGAGCGTGCGGCTTTAAAGGGAATTCATGGCAGAGCTCTAAATGATAGAAAAATTAGTTTCGCCCAGTGGAGAGCGTAACAGTTTGAGATTTTATTGTTCCCCGAAATCCATTCGCAATAAAGGACGTTACAAATCGGCGACGGGATTTGGGACGTGGGAGAAATACGGGTAGTACCGTCGAGTGTAAGCAATTCGTAACTGTTTAACTCGCGCAGTTTGCCAAGACACAAGAAGCGGCTAACAAAAGTTCTCGGCGCTGTAAAGTTAGAAGTGAGGTGTATTTGAAGCGATGCCTGAATACTTATTTTTCTTAATTTTACGGCATAGTTGCTATTAAAAAAAAAGAGTTCGTTTATTGCTGGGGAAACCTTGAAAGTAGAAGTATGATGTTTCCTCGATCGGCAAAACAATCGGAACTCGATGGGGAAAAAATTCTTATTCAGTTCGATTCTTATTTGTTGAAAATGGCACTGAAAAGAATGGGAATCTTGAGAAACTCAATCTCGAGTAACTTAAATTTATGCAAAAAAATATTTTCCCGAAAAACCCGAAGGAGGCTCTTGCTCGGTGCATCCGATATCGTTTAAATTCTAACAAATACTCTTGATATCTCAAAGAAACGTGACGGGGAGAAGGTATCAATTAAATCTCGTTATTATCGATAGCTACTTAACCGTAGCTACTTAATCCACCCACGTTATCAAACTTCGTTAAGAAGCCGGCGAGCGGTCGGCGGCAGAATTTTAAGCAGTGGAAAAAGGCGGTCACGGCCAGACCAATACCATTCGTAACTACTTAATCTCCTTGGCGAACGTTCGCATCTCGCGAGAAACCCGCTCTTTATCGATAAGAATGCATTGAAAAGTACGAGTACGTCTAGATTTAACACAGCAATTAGTTAATTCCCACTACTTTCTCTCAGACCCGAGGGATGGCGACGGAAAAGCCGCAAGAGCTTTCGTCCTGTTTACTCGGTCAATTTATCGCGCTCACGGCTCGCTCCTGAAATCGAGTGTCAGTCTCGACAGTGAAATGCGCACGCCTTAGAGCACGCGGCTCGGCCTTTTTTTAACATTAATAAATAAAACCCTTGGTGAGTACGGACTAGGCCCCTCCGGGGTTGGTAGAGGACAACTGAGTAAAATTCAATTTGTCATCCCACCGCGCCATCCCGCGGAATCGAATTTTTCTTATGCGTGAGAAAAAAGGCACAAAGGCACGAGCAACGGGACTCGTAATCAAGACGTTATTTTATCGTGGACTGATTTCTCAAAAGTATTAGTTGAACTTAGCGAACGATTAAGCGAGTGTTTCTGATTTTTAGTTTCACTTGTTGAAAGCGGCAGCGACGTATCGGGTAAACCACAATCTTAATTAATGTATATGAAAGCAGCACATTATTTCTCTCTCTCTTTCTCTCTTTCTCTTTCTCTCTCGTTTTAGCAAATCTCCTTATCGCGAAGCACTCTTATTCTTCGATGTCGATCGCGACTCTCGAAGGACGATCGACATCGAGATCGCCTGAGTTGGAAATTATCCTAAACCGAGAGGAACTTCATTTCCGTGGTATAATCTCGATCAACGGATAATATCCCGTAGTCGATTCGAACTCTCGCGAGGGAAGAGATCGAGATTTCGAGACTCGAGAGGTTCGGAACTTTTCAATTTGTCTGATACCCGTGTTCCGTCGATGGGGTAATCGGCTGGCGATCGAGTTCTCGGCTCGGAGGTCGAGGGAGGTCGTCACGGTGAGTATCCACGATCTTGCGAGAGAAAGCGGGATAATCGCAGTGGCAAATATCGGAGGATGGTCGCGACGACTATGTTTGCTCTGCAGCCGTCCTAAGCCGCAAATAACGAGGAAGGTCGGTCGACAGTAGGGTGGGATCAGGATCCCATATATCCTTTACGATATTTCTGCTCTATCCCTTCTCTTTCTTCCCTTTGCCTCGTTTCCTCCCCCATCCTCTTCACTTGCGAGTAACAGACGCGCGTCGACGGCTCTTCATTTTTATCGCCGAATCGAACGGAGACGGGGAACGCAACTAGGAAAAAGGATCTCCGAAAGCGGGCATGGCAGTCTGCCATCGGCGACCGGCCCGAAGATGTAAAATTGCAATCCGCGGTCACTGCACGTTCGTTTGCCCGCGAGCAACAAGTTATACACCATAACCAGCGGCGCACAAAGAGAACAGGAAAGTGGACGGACGATCTCCGCGCGCCGTCGACCGTCTTTTTTCGGGACGGACAAAAGTCAGCCTGAAAACGCGCTTTTCCTAGGCTCGTCGACTAACGTCGATTAACGCTCACCGTGGTTTCATCGATCCTTCATCGCGCCGCAGGATCGCATCGGATGTAATATAGAACATAATTCTGGCACCTTGTCAACGGGAATATTTCCCGAGTGCGCTAATCATCGCGTCATTCATCTCTCTTTGTAACATAGATGGAGTTGGACCGAATTACATCAATCATGTGGGTCGAGTAAACTTGGCTCGGCAATTGGCTATCTCTTTGTAGATTATAGTTCTATCTATGATATGAAGAGGGAGAGAGAAAATTGACTTAACCGATATCAGGGCCTTAAGCGACGTTACTAGAACCGACCCTCAGTCAATCACGGTTTACGTTAATCGACGTTGGTGAAACCAGCCTGTAGGAAATTTAGCCCTGGGTCCGCCAAATAACGTCTGTAACCCACTGAACCCACGTTCATGCTTGAGAGTTTCATTCATCTGCGCGAAAACGAAGTGCAATTTTAATTCCGTAGTACTTTGTAAACTGGATATATAAACGTATCCAGCGTCACGATTCAATTTTTCAAATTGATTACAGAAACTTTGGGAAACAAATATAGACTGAGTGGATCGCAAACAGAAGTTTTAAATTGGAGGAATAAAGGAGAAGGTAACTAGAAAGAAAAAAGGGGATGAAACTTTCAAGTTGTCTCGGTCAGTCCTCGCGATCGCGATCAATCAACATGCGCACGTCTTGACGCACGCTCCGATCGAGGACGTACATATCTTGCGAGGATCTTTCCTCGGGGAGAGAAGGAGTGTGGAGGGGGTCCGGGGGGGAGGGAGGGAGGGGGAGAAACGCGAGAGTCGCAGGATCTATCGGTGCACTCGTTCTCTCGCGCGAAAGTAACGGGGGGGAAAAAAAATTACGTGATCGAACGTGTTAAGTCCGAAATTATTGCGCGCGTGGCCGAGATCGTGAGATCGTCGCGTGGACCGCGATTCGTTCGTTTGCGTTACCGATGTCCCACCGGTGGTCGGCGACGGACAGTGGGCGATCCGGTGGTCCGGAGTACCGTGCCAGTACTGGTACTGTAGAGTTTGTTATCGAGTAGCGCGGCGCCGCCGTGAGAGAGAGAGGCAAAGCGCCGGGGTGGTGGCAGCTTTGCTTGGCTGACAAGTAGATAGGACCGGGTACCACGCAAGCGCCGATTCAACCCTCCCCGTTTGTCACCACCCTACTCCCCTCTGGATCCCCTCGTACGCTCGCACGTCGCCCAAACCCTCATCCAGCCCTCCGACCCTCTTTCTCTCCTTCACCGGCTGGCTTTCTCTATACCTCTTCACCTCTCGATACCCTCGGGCGAGCCCGGCCCTTCGACTTTTCCTCGCTTTTCCATCTTCTTCTGATCGCGCGAACGTCCTCGGAGATTCGATTTGCCACCCTCGCGCGCGCGAGAAATCACTGATCTCCGACGACCAAGCACGACGACGTGACGACGCCGGCGACAACGGTCGTGCGACTCGATTTTCGAATCGGCGTTTCTTGCCGATGACATTTTCGCGATACTCATCGCCGTGCTTTAAATAATGAGCGCGTTTCCGAGAGGGCTCCCCGGTACTTATATGAGAACAGCTTATAAGAGCGCTCGTGAGTACTCGCTATTAATTCTTGACGCAATTCCATCTTATCACACAACGTTGTCCTTTTATTATTTTTACTTACCGAATAGTGGAAAAAGATTCATACGTGACGATATTTTCCAAGTTGTAAAAAAATACAAGTTTCTACGTAGAATGGATAATAATAATATGATGAAAGCAATAAAATGATAAATATTAGTACAGATAATTTGATACGGCACGTGAGCAATGTCGGTTATTAAATAAATACCGCGTAATTGATTGAAAAACCAATATTACCGAATTTATTAATTGATGGCAATTGTTTTTGGTTTTGATGAATGGAGTAGTGAAAATAATCTTGAGGATTTGAGCCACTATTGGTGCTTTTCGCGGTATTTCGAAATTCAGCATCGTTTCATTTCAAGGATTGAAGGTACTTCATCCCGCGCGCGTGCAATTACTCGCCTATCGGTAATCTCGAGCTAGTATTATATTTATGCTGGTCTGAATTGCGACGCTCGAATAATTACGACAGTATACCGGCTGCTCTCCGCGGCGTCGTTTACGCGTCGTAAATTTCGACGTTCTTATCTGCTTCTGGCTGATGCTGAAGGATACCATTTAACGCACATCGGACGACGATTTTATACGTGGAGCACGGGAGATTTTTCTTTCTAAGCAAGAAAGAGACAACGGACGAGTAACGTGTACAATGCGACGATGTTAACGCTTTCTTCGCAACTCTTTAAATCTCTTTAACGGGAGCAGCGGTCCCTATCAGCGGCGCGATAACAGACGACCCGGACTTTGCGCTGGAAAACACAGTATCGAGCGATCAGAGATCCACGCGGAATTAATTTATATTTCGAAAGTGCGCTACGTCGTTACGTATGCAAATCTTTTATTTGCAAAATTTTCACGTTGACATCGTGTTAACACGTTATTAAAAGCGGTCCTCTCCTAAATACGAGTAAACGGATTTGGGTTTAGTGAGCTAAACGAGGATTTAGGTGTACCAAACTGAAAGTATGTTTTAAAAGTTACAGGGCGTATGTGCTTTCCATTAGAACCATAGATATTTAAGACAGGCTCCCAAAAACAACTCTTCCCGTATTCATTGTCCCGAAAACCAACAGAGACTATTTTGCTTTCCCTCCTCGACCATAAGCCCTCTTTGAACCACTGAGTTCTTAGAATTCTGCGTTTTAGTACCCTTTTACTGTCCCTTCACCCTACGGGCTCACGTAGGCGATTTTGCCCTTTAAGCGCATATAGAAATAGAAGGTAGACAGAGAGAATGGTATATTCACGTGCGCAGGGGTTCGCAACCCTTTTCATTTTTTAATTATACAACTTTCCATTTTATTTGATAAAAATTCGACGCGGATAATAGAATCGAATGTATTTACACAAGTATTTACATAATTTCCTTTATTCCCGCCAATCAGACGTGCTCTCATTTACCACGAAATTGCGCTTGTGCTTGTGGGCCAATATGCTGTCACTGCGCTATTCATACGCGAATTTATATCAGAGAAACGCAGATGAGGGAAGAAAAAACAAAAAGTGTCGGTGGAAAATGTCCGCTATCAAGGCCCTATTACTTTTATATGACAAAATCGCTTTTCCAGTTCATCGCAAATTAAATAACGGCTTAATTCAAAATCCTCTTACGGGTTAGTACATTGCACGAGGAACGGGCGGACCGGGTAATCGGAACGGAATAATTCACTAACAAGGTCACGATCTCGACGTCAAGGGAAGTCTTTTATCGAGGTGCGCCGATTGCGGGCGCAAACGGCGTATTTTCAAGTGCGCTTCAGTCGCCTCTCGATGGAGCGAGCGTGAGATGTCGAGAGAGAGAGAGAGAGAGAGAGGGTAATGCCATTCAATTGGACCGCGCCGATTTGATACGCGGATAACAGCGTATTATCGATACTATCCGTCCGCGTTCGAAATTCGCCCTGTTTAAACGCGGCTGGGCATCGGTCCGTGCCGGTCGGCACCCTCGTCGACTACGCCACTATCGGTCGGCCGGGTATCGATAGGGCCGGAGGGTGAGCAGACACGGGGTAAGAGAGTAGGAAATTCAACGGGGGAGCCTAGTGCCGGCGGTGGCTCTTACCGTTTCGCACCCCCTCTTTCCGTCCCGTTGAACCGACCATCCGTCCACCGACCAACCACCTTCGGCGCGTCGTCGTCTCTCTCGCTTTTTTTCTTTCCCCTCAGCGACTCGCCGTACCGTGCAAACGCTGCGCGCGGCGAGCTTTTAGGGAATTAACGTCCCGGTTCGTTACAATAACCGTATTACCGTATTTTCGTCTGTAATTATCGTTTTCTCACCGTCGACGACGTTGCCAGACGGCGACGAGACGCCGAGCGACATGTTTTTTCGTAGTTTCGATTTGGCGAACAGCGCGGGCAGAGGATAACACACGGTTCTACTAATTTCCCCGGGATGAGATTGAGAACAGTTGAGAGATCCGGGGCGCACGGGCGCAAGAAACTCGGCGTGAAAAACGGGGATATTGTCGGCGCTCCTGAGAGATTTCTCGTGTCGGCGCGCGTTTCCGGCACCCCTGGGTATTAAGAATGTTCTTCTATCAATCCGACATGTACACCATTTTCCCCGATAATTTCCCTTTCGCGACTTTCACGCCGTTTGCTCTTACGACGTTTGCTGTGCGAGGGACGCGCACCACCAGGGATGTGCGCGCGACATCGGATGTTCCGCAAAATTTGCATCAAACTTGCGGGGAGTTTAGCGAGAATTTGAGTACATACGAATTTCAATATTACCTAAATATCTTCAAGTCCCAAATTAAATCTGAAATTAAGATTATGCTGAAATAGAATTTATTATACATGAAGTAAATTGAGGGTTGGTGATTTTTAATCTATTTTTAAGCGTCGTCGACGATTTTGGCTGGAGACCGAGGTGGTCGCGTCTGTTGAATATAATTATGATTTAACGGGATACATTTACATCTCTCACATAACCGATGCTCGAGCTAATGGAATCTGTCCCATTGAAACACAAAAGTCCGATTCGAATTAAAATGATTCAACGTAACCGAAGTTATCGAAATTCTAAAAACAGAATTAAATTGAACGCGGTATATGCGTTCTCGTTAGCTTTTATTTTTTTATTTCCAACATTCTATATCGCATCCGGACAGTTTAATCAAAAGCCGCAAAGCATTGCAATTACGTAGCTTCTAATAAAAGATTTTTCTGTCATACACGCAAGATTGCAATCAGATGTATCGCGCAGCGAGCAGCACGAACGCAGGTCGCTTGATATGATTAAAATTCATTAGTTTCGTGATTCGGAAAAATCGCTTCATTCGAGGATTGCTGGATGAAAAATTATGTTGATGGTTGCAAATGTATGTGCGGACCTTTGGCTCGACACAAATTACAGATTGTTGCATGATTATTCAACGTATAGGAAGCGCATTCACATGCAACAGACCATGCATCTGATCGCGCTCCACCCAGTAATGTTCTAAAAATAGTCCGACACACTGTAAAGACTCCCGATATTTCATTCATTGTCGCAAGATAAATCGATCTACTCATTATTCGAGCTACTAGCTTCGCGCTATCGGTCTGCAGCGTTACGAGAGAATAATGCTACAATGCCAGAGCTACTTCAAATGGCTCGTTAAAATAATACGAAAAATAGTAGGTATCGCAGTTGATTCGTAATTACGAAACAATGAAAATTGTTATGTTTATCGTGCGCTCCAAACTTACGAAATATTCCCCGTGAGTAAGCTGCAATAAATAACATCTTTCGGCACAAGTACGAGCAACTTGTTGACTTTAGGCTGTTGTGATTGGACGGAGGAATCTCGGAATTGCGAAACTTCCTTCACCGTAATGTGCGTTCGCGACTGATAGAGCTTCCAATAGACGCAACTTCTATAAGAGAAGTTTCCGACCGTCTTTAAGTTAGGACACGTGTTGCCAGAACGTCAGTTCCGCGTGACAGGCCGACCTGAGCCAATAAAAAGCGAGAACACGCTTCTTTTATACCCGTCTATTTAAGGGCTGCCTGTGCAGGATCTCGAAAAATCAGATTACCCCTTTCAATCTTTGCGAGGTACATTGTGAATTATTTCACCTTAGGAAATAGATTGAACGACCCAATTCTACAAAAGA